TTCATAACGAGTGCTCTTGGTCTCCGGTCTGACCTCCAGGGTTCATAACGAGTCCTCTTGGTCTCCGGGCTGACCTCTAGGGTTCATAACGAGTCCTGTTGGTCTCCCGGCCTATCCTCTTGGGTTCATAACGAGTCCTCTTGGTCTCCGGGCTCACCTCTAGGGTTCATAATGAGTCCTGTTGGTCTCCGGGCTAACCTCTAGGGTTCATAACGAGTCCTCTTGGTCTCCGGGCTGACATCTAGGGTTCATAACGAATCATGTTGGTCTCCGGGCTAACCTCTTGGGTTCATAAAGAGTCTTCTTGGTTTCCGGGCCGACCTCTAGGGTTCATAACGAGTCCTGTTGGTCTCCCAGCCTGCTTCTGCTGCTTTGTAGCGAGTCCTCTTGGTCTCCGGGTTGACCTCTAGGGTTCATAATGAGTCCTGTTGGTCTCCCTCCCTGCTTCTGCTGCTTTCTAGCGAGTCCATTTGGTCTCCGGGCTAACCTCTAGGGTTCATAACGAGTCCTGTTGGTCTCCCTGCCTGCTTCTGCTGCTTTCTAGCGAGTCCTCTTGGTCTCCGGGCTGACCTCTAGGGTTCATAGCGAGTCCTCTTTGGTCTCCAGGCTGACCTCTAGGGTTCATAGCGAGTACTCTTTGGTCTCCGGGCTGACCTCTAGGGTTCATAACAAATCCTGTTGGTCTCCCGGCCTGCTTCTGCTGCTCTGTAGCGAGTCCTCTTGGTCTCCTGGCTGACCTCTAGCGTTCATAACGAATCCTGTTGGTCTCCGGGCTGACCTCTAGGGTTCATAACGAGTCCTGTTGGTCTCCCTGCCTGCTTCTGCTGCTTTGCAGCGAGTCCTCTTGGTCTCCGGGCTGACCTCTAGGGTTCATAGAGAGTCCTCATTGGTCTCCGGGCTGACCTCTAGGGTTCATAACGAATCCTGTTGGTCTCCCGGCCTGCTTCTGCTGCTCTGTAGCGAGTCCTCTTGGTCTCCGGGCTGACCTCTAGGGTTCATAGAGAGTCCTCATTGGTCTCCGGGCTGACCTCTAGGGTTCATAACGA